TAAGACAAGCATGGGTTGCTGAAGACCAATTCTAACCCTGATCGTCAAGGGCAGCATACATACTGCAAAAGACACTTGACGGTCAAAGGGAAATAACCCTAGGTTTTCTGAGCGATGTATTCGGTATTTTGTCCATATTACCACCAAGCGGTGTTACTTTTAGCATGCAGCCAAGAACAAAAGATGAGCTACATGTGCCCGACTAACTTCATGTAAACTTTCAATAGTTTCTGTGGAGAACCTTACAAGATGTGATCTTTATATAAAGGAAAAATTCGGTGAAAGAAATCATCAAAATCAAAATCAAACAGAGCCGTCACTAAGACAGATATCCAAAAACGGCTAACAGAGTTTGGTGTGTTATGTGTGGAGACAATTCTGAGAAAGTTTGAAAGCATTTCATGCAGTGGATTCAGAGGAGATAGTATTTGAAGACAGGTACCCCAAAAAACCTGTGAAAACCTTGAATCCAATATGGCAGCAACTAAAAAAGATATCCAAAATCGGCTAACAGAGTTTGATGTGATATGTATGGAGACAGTACTCGGAAAGTTTGGATGCATTTCATGCATTGGATTCAGAGGAGATAGGATTTGAAGACAGGTACCCCCAAAACCCTGTAAAAACTTTGAATCCAATATGGCTGCCAAACCACGTGACCAATGACCAAGGTCAAAGAACAGAAAATGTTAAGCACCCGAAGCAGCAGACATGTGTAAAGTTTGAAAGTAATCGGACAAGCGGTTGCGGAGCAATAAGGCGAAATATATCTTCAAAAAATACTTGTTTTTCAGTTATCTGCCCTTGGCCATAGGGCCTACGGCCTTGGAATTTTTGTGGTATTTGGTACCTAACACCCTGCACACACACACAAAATTTGAACAAAATCGAGCCAGTGGTTAAACTGCTATCTCTGGAACAAAAAACGGCGGAATAATAAATAATAATAATAAATAATAAATCGAACGATTACAATAGGGCTCTACAGCCTTTCGGCTTGGAGCCCTAATAAATCGAAAGATATCAACAGGACAACATGATTACAATAATAAACTCGACAATCCCAATCTACACACGAAATTTGGTCGAAATCGGACCAGTAGTTTCCGAGTTACAAGTGTTCAAAGGTCTGCCATTCAGAGGTCTGCTGTACGGCAGCTTGTGGCAGGGTGACAGGCAGGGTGGGTGGCAGGGTGACAGGCCGACAGGCCGACAGGCCGGGTGGCACTTTGTGACAGGGGGTCAAATAGTCCGGGAGAAGAATGAGCGTAGCTCCTTTGTCCATTGAGCTACAGACAAACGGATCAGCGTTCCGAGCTCGCCAGCACCCCGGCTTTCTGTCGCACTGCTCGGATAAAGTGCCGAACCCGAACCTGTTTCCGACCTCGTCCATGTTCGAATCCCCAGATGGTTTGGTTGTACCGACGCCGTCAAAAGCAAGGAAACGCTTGCGAGACATCGCCGCTACGAAACTGACGTGTCCCGGAACGTCCCGTGATGTTCTACGCCCATTTCAGACGTCGCGCATGTTCGAATCCGCATAAGGTTTGCCTGTACCAACGCCGTCAAACGTAAGGAACCGTTTGCGAGACATTACCGCATGTGTCCCAGTGAGTTCTTAACCCATTTCCGACCTCGAATCCTCATGTTCGAATCCTGAAAGGGTTTTGCTTGTCCCAACTCATGCAAAAGATGGTCACTGTTTGCAGGACATCGCCGCCACAAAATTGGCGTGTGCCTGAGTCAACCAGAATGTTCTAAACCCATTTACCACCCAGACAATGTTCGAATCCCGATCATCGCCTCTTAAGACAAGCATGGGTTGCTGAAGACCAATTCTAACCCTGATCGTCAAGGGCAGCATACATACTGCAAAAGACACTTGACGGTCAAAGGGAAATAACCCTAGGTTTTCTGAGCGATGTATTCGGTATTTTGTCCATATTACCACCAAGCGGTGTTACTTTTAGCATGCAGCCAAGAACAAAAGATGAGCTACATGTGCCCGACTAACTTCATGTAAACTTTCAATAGTTTCTGTGGAGAACCTTACAAGATGTGATCTTTATATAAAGGAAAAATTCGGTGAAAGAAATCATCAAAATCAAAATCAAACAGAGCCGTCACTAAGACAGATATCCAAAAACGGCTAACAGAGTTTGGTGTGTTATGTGTGGAGACAATTCTGAGAAAGTTTGAAAGCATTTCATGCAGTGGATTCAGAGGAGATAGTATTTGAAGACAGGTACCCCAAAAAACCTGTGAAAACCTTGAATCCAATATGGCAGCAACTAAAAAAGATATCCAAAATCGGCTAACAGAGTTTGATGTGATATGTATGGAGACAGTACTCGGAAAGTTTGGATGCATTTCATGCATTGGATTCAGAGGAGATAGGATTTGAAGACAGGTACCCCCAAAACCCTGTAAAAACTTTGAATCCAATATGGCTGCCAAACCACGTGACCAATGACCAAGGTCAAAGAACAGAAAATGTTAAGCACCCGAAGCAGCAGACATGTGTAAAGTTTGAAAGTAATCGGACAAGCGGTTGCGGAGCAATAAGGCGAAATATATCTTCAAAAAATACTTGTTTTTCAGTTATCTGCCCTTGGCCATAGGGCCTACGGCCTTGGAATTTTTGTGGTATTTGGTACCTAACACCCTGCACACACACACAAAATTTGAACAAAATCGAGCCAGTGGTTAAACTGCTATCTCTGGAACAAAAAACGGCGGAATAATAAATAATAATAATAAATAATAAATCGAACGATTACAATAGGGCTCTACAGCCTTTCGGCTTGGAGCCCTAATAATCTATATAGCAACAAATTCCAGCTAGGCTGTTCACATGCCATAAGTCGCCTCTTACGACAAGCATAGTCGGGAACTTCCGACAAGCATGGGCTGCTGAAGACCTATTCTAACCAGGAATCTTCACGGGATTTATTGTTAAAAGTAGATCATGTTGGTGCTAAGGTTTGAGCACCGAGGGAGTGCTTGACACATCGGCCTTTACCCTACATGACCTTCTGTTTAAGAAGCCAGGATTTATTATACTTCCTAACAGCACCATAATTGGGAATCATTATTTCCCCAGCATCCTTCACGGGGGAGGGAAGCTATCAATATAGTGTTTCCAAGTTAATGGAGAATATCCTTTCCCAGCTGATTTAGGAACTAGGTCACCAGAGACCGAGCTGGGCTCAGGTCAATTTGTTTCCTTGCAGAAAGCTATTCAGACATCTTTCCTTGTCTACAAAGTCATGGTTTATGATTCTGGTTAATTCACTGATCATCCTAATTAGGGCACTTATGTTTTATGGTTTATTGATTTTATTCGGATCATTTAGTTTGAGTTGGATGAAATGAAAATGCTATCGGTGGAAATCAATGTTAGAGTGTATGATGTTCAGTATTTTATTTTTAAGGCCATGTTCTTTTTATGAAAGGTTCGCAGGTTCAGTGGAGTTGATCAGTTATTATTTAAAAAGTTAATAGGTAAAAAGTTAATCTGTCATGCCATGACAGATTATCTGTAGTGATATGAAAGAATCAGGTCTTGTTTAACTTCCTTTGGGTAGTTAGGGGCCGTCGGCTAGGCTAGCGGTTATAGCGTTTGCTTGTCACTCCGATACCTGGGTTCGATTTCCGACATGGGTACAATGTGTGAAGCCCATTTCTGGTGTCCCCTGCCGTGATATTGCTGGAATATTGCTAAAAGCGGCGTAAAAACATACTAACTCACTCTTTTGGGTAGTATATTATTGATTTGATATTGGTGTGTCTGCACAATGTAATGTATTTTAATCATTGGATTTTTTCAAGAGGTTTTAACATTTTACCGTCTTCGCTTGTTTTTAACCATACCTCTGAACTTGCTCAAGTCTGAAACTTGCAAGTGTAAGAGTGAGTGAGTTGGGTTTAACCCTGCTTTTAACAGTATTCCAGTTATATCGTGGCATGTCAGCTTATTGGGGAGGAAAGCCCGAAGTGATGCAGATCTCAGATGTTTAGTACTTTGGTGAAACCCACGAGCACAGGTATGGTGCTGACAAACCTAGAAACATAATCGGGGCGAACCGGGATTCGAACTAACAATCATAGGTTTCTGGCGTGCCCAAGGGATGCAACTCCGAATCGCAGCGCCTTAGACGACTGGGTCACCCATGCCCCCTGCAAGTGTAAGAAAGTAAAAAGGTGATTTGAAAGTCACAAAAGCATGTACAAGTTTTTTCAAAGCATAAATTCCGAGTTTTCTGAAACTATAATGTTTGACATTTCCATTGGACCAAAGTGGACCCTTATTGTACATTATTCATCCTTTGGTAACTTGTAAGTACGAAAAACTGCTCAGTGAGTTGGGAGGAATTCATGTTTAGTTCCCCTGACTGACAGTCAAGTGATCGTATGTCATGTTTGTCTGTTCTCCATCATCTGTGAGCATCTTCCCCTCAGAAACCACTGACTGCCTCCATGGTCTAGTGGTAGACCGTCCGCCCAGAGAGCGGAAAGTTCGGTGTTAGATTCCCGGCCGCGTAATGCCAAAAGACGTTAAAAGATGGTACTTGTTGTTACCCTGTCTGGCGCTCAGCATTAAGGGGCTAAAACAAGGACTGGTCGGCTCAGAGTCAGTATACTGTGTCTGAGTAGGGTATTCATGTTAAACTGCGGCATGGTATCTCAGTGGGCCAGCGCTATAAATCGGCATCAGTCCGGACTAGTACAAGCAGCCACACACACACATTTGCATGCACATCACTGTATAAGTGCAATAATCCTGGACGCAACATTAAATCCCATTTCACCTCACCCCAGAAGCCACAAGGCCAAAGAAGCGGAAATTTGGCATGTGATTAGAATGAGATTGAATCATCCTTGCTTCCCCCAAGGGCAATTTCAGCTGGTCAGGCTTGCTCACTGGAATCCTTGAGTTCAACATTAAACGGGAAAAAAATAATCATCGACCATGGTTAAGTTGTGTTCTCTGTTTTCAGGTATGCAGAACATTATATGGAGGAGAATGTGAGAAAGCGAACCTTGGTGAAAGCCTACGGCATCAGGTTCATCCTCACCGTGCAGGGGCGGGCGGGCAAGTTCAACGTTGTGCCTCTTTTACTGAATATTGGCAGTGGTCTGGCCCTGCTGTCTATAGTAAGTTTACTTTCTACAAGTACCTGTGAAAATCCAGGTAGACAATAGGTCTTCAGCAACCTATACTTGGCGTAAGAGGCGACTATGCTTGTCTAACGGTATTGGGTGGTCAGAGTCACTGACTTGGTTGATGCATGTCATCGCATCTCAATTGCGTAGATCGATGCTCTTGTCAATCACTGGATTATCTGGTCCAGATTTGATTATTTACAGACTGCTGTCATATAGCTGGAATATTGCTGAGTGTGGTGATAAACAACATACAAACGAAACTTTCAACAAGCATCTTTAGGACTAAAAAAGATGTTATGGTTTCGCTAAACACTAAAAAGAAGGTTAGGCTTCATATTTTTCTCTTTTTCCAAAACCTAGAACTACTGTACAGTTGGGTGTGTTATGATATGTCTACATGTTTTCTATTTGTTTTGTTGTGAACAGTGAGTACCACCAAAACAAGGTCAGGGTCAGCACCAGAAATTAGGGTCTGTTGGTTAATCGTAACCACTTCAGAGTTTGGGCCTTAGCTTCACAGATTGAATGTTTTAACATTTTCTAGATAGTTCAGGACAGGTAGGAATGGCCCAGTGGGAAAAGTGTTTGCCTGTCTTACAAAGTCTGTGTTCAGTGATAGTGAAGTTGAGTGATGCGGAGAATAAGATTTACCTCAAAACTATTATGTTGGCAGTGAAGAGGACGTCTCTTGAAAAATCTAAAAAGAATTATTGTGTGATTCCAGCCAAAACAGGAATTTATGACTGTGATGTATAGATGTAGTATTCTTAGAATTATAGTCAATAATAGGTATTGTTTGATTGCGATATTGCTGGTATATTGTTAAAAAATGCATGAAAAACATTCTCACTTACCATATTTTCTTGAGTATAGTGCGCACCCCCCTCTTGCGGATTCAGTATTTTTGAAAATATTTTTTGATTATTATGTGCAGAAAAAGATTACCTTGTGTATTTTCTCGTAAACTAAGCCGGAAACAGAAATCAGCTGTACACATGTTTTCTTGGAATCTACCAGTGATTCGGTCAAAACACACCCAGTGACATAACTTTCAAGGATATTAATGCTAGGATCGCCAAAATTTTTATCTGTAACTGTTTTTCTTATCAGGAATAATATATTCCAATATCTTGTTATTTTAGTTGCAGCTTTTACTAAATATTTAAAATAATAATAACCCTAAGCGTAGCAGCTGATTGCTATTGTTGGTGATTTATTTTCACATAGAACAATTTGACCATTCACCGTCGAGGCTCCCGTGCAGGTGATTGCGAGAACTACATGTTGACATAGAATCGTCAAACAATAACAAGTATGACTTTTAACGAGTCAAAGTATGACATTTATGATATATGTATCCATTCTCTGTCAACTAAAGTTCATTTCAAGGCGTCAATGGCGGTAATCTGAGCTTCATTGGTGTTAATAACAGTGAGTTGTGCGATCTTCCGATCACTTCACACACGATTTTGCCAAAATTAATTGAAGCAATATTAAAAGGAATTTTGAATAAAATTATGAAATAAGTTACAAACATAAGTCCAGATATACAATGAACACTTTTTATAGCCAGACAGTGTTATGACATGATTAATTTGCGTACTTCAGTATGGATTTCTTGACATGGTATTTCCATTGTTACAGGCTCATGGTAATGTTTGCGTTAGGGAAAAATAGATCAAAACTCATTATGGCGTGCATAATGCGCACCCCCTTCTACACAGCTACATTTTATGGAAAAAAAGTGTGCACTATACTCAAGAAAATATGGTACTAACATAACCATAATAATGGAGGATGCTGTCAATGAATTGTTTGTCTGTTTCAGACCACGATCGTGTGTGATGAATTGTTTGTCTGTTTCAGGCCACGATCGTGTGTAATGAATTGTTTGTCTGCTTCAGGCCACGATCGTGTGTGATGAATTGTTTGTCTGCTTCAGGCCACGATCGTGTGTGATGAATTGTTTGTCTGTTTCAGGCCACGATCGTGTGTGATGAATTGTTTGTCTGTTTCAGGCCACGATCGTGTGTGATGAATTGTTTGTCTGTTTCAGGCCACGATCGTGTGTGATGAATTGTTTGTCTGTTTCAGGCCACGATCGTGTGTGATGAATTGTTTGTCTGTTTCAGGCCACGATCGTGTGTGATGTGGTAGTGCTGTACTTCCTAAAGGCACGGACCTACTACCGGGACAAGAAATACCTAACTGTGACAGGAGACGACGCCTACGAGGTAACACTGACATGTCCAGTTCATTGTACTCATTCTGAGTTCGTCACCACTGACCCACATCTATTTTTTACTTATATGTTGAACTTACTGCTTAAGGGAAAACCATAAGCCAGGACTTGGTTAAATTGCAGGTATTTCATTACTGAAACCATGGTCATTCTGCATTTAAGATTTTGTCAACGTAGTAATGTGATTATTAGTTGTCAGACAGTAGTCTTTGTCCTATTGTAGAAAAATGTCACATTGAAATCAGGTTACGAGCAAAACTATTCAATATTCTGAGATATTACTGGGATAACGTAGATTTCTCAACATTGAATTATGATATTGAATAATATTTTTTTCCTTGGAGACATGCGGAAAACATAGATGCTTAATTTAGAAATGATTGGGGACTGTCTATACACAGATAAATATTCCTTTTCATTTAAGTTCAGTACTGGCGATTAAGATTTTGTAAAGCCTACAACCCAGTTATTGACACAACCCGGGGATGCTGGCTGAAGGGGCTCCCAGTACCTTGTGCACGTCGTAGGAGCTGACGAACATGAGGATCAGGTGCTCACTATGTCTGACTGATTTAGTGTCATCTTAATCTAACACATGGATCATTGCTCATGCTATCGACCACCAGGATTTGTACAGGATACTGTGATTTAGCTTGAACCCCATGGGGATTCCGGGTTAGATTAGATTTCCAGCAACATATGCTTCTTGGAGTGCTGACCTGTGAAGATCTGGGGTAGGATAGGTCTTCAGCAACCCATGCTTTCCGTAGGAGGCGACTAAGGAGATCAGGTGGTCAGGCTTGCAGACTTTGTTGATGCATGTCATTGTATCCCTATTATGTGGCTCAAAGCTCATGATGTCTATCACTGGATTGTCTGGTCAAGACTCCATTATTAACAGACCTCCGTCGAATTTTAGTGGCAAGTTGTTGTGATGAACAAGAACAGGTTGTCATTGATAAACAACTTCTATTGTACAAGTGAGGCTGCTTTTGCTGTTCGTGGTGACTAAAGGGATCAGGTCGTCAGGTTTGGAGACTTGGTTGATTGCGTGCCCTTGTACCCTGTGTATGTTCTTCATTGTATAAATCACTGATTGTCTGATCCAGACATGATTATTTACAGGCCACTATCATATAGCTGTAGTTTTGCCGAGTTCAGTTTTAAACAACAAACAAACGAGGGAGTATTGTTGGCTGTGATGCTAAAACAACATAACTTGCGGTAGTCATACACTCTCTACTTAGACTGACCTTTCGCGATTTTTGGCCGACCAATGGAATGACTGACAATAAGTCAACATTAGCCAATCAGATGGTAGCATTCTCATGGTTTATGGCACTAGTTTCAAACTGTGAATAATACTTAACAAATTCTCGATTACAAATTTCAAAATGGAACAAAGAACCATTCTGGAATGGCTAATAAATGGCCTAGGTCGTATGGATTCAGTCATAAAGCCTGTAACTGTCATTCGGTTTATACTTTTCGAGGTTGCATGATTGGAGATATTTGTGACACATCAGTTAGTTTGTATTTGAGGCTGACATTCTTCCAGTCTGGAGCATCCTATGTGGAATCCATTTTCTACCCTTCCTTGGATAATATCAATTATCACTAGTTATTAATACACAGGTTTTGTCTGCTGCTGTTATTCAAAAGGCCAGTCTAAATTTTCGGTTTTTTTTACGGAATTTGATTGTACAAAATAAAACGCTTTCTTCGGTATTTTTTTTAAATCATCTTAAAGTTTGATTTTGATTGGTAAGGTAATAAAACAAAATAAAGAAAAACTTGTGTATTAAGTCAAATTAAAATCCCTTGGATAATTTGTATTGTAAAGCGACATTTACTGTCAGCAATATAAATAAACCCTTGTCATTCTGATTCTTATTTTTTTTTAAATTTCGCTTAAGGCCAGCAAATTCATTAACTAAGCCAAAAAAAGGTAAGGCTACCTATGTGTTTCTTTAATACAGGTTTTACCGAAGAGAGGCAAACGTTATAATCAGAAATTATAGTAGAAATAGTTTAGATTTTTTTCATGTTGATGGCATGGAACCAAGGATACATCCAAAATGTTTTAAAAAGGTAACTTTGAATAATGAATGATCAAGTGCATTGGCTCTATGGTTCCTGCAATCCTTCTCTGAAAAAAACTAAAAGTTTTAGATAGCATTAGCATGTATGTGTTCTCACTAAGGCAAATCATGTGTTATTGTATTTTTTTGGTTAACTGATCTGCAGACATGAACAAAGGTAAGATAAAAATATGATTAAAATGACTTTTCTGATATTGTTTAAATATTTAAAAAAGACACCTGAAGGCTGTGTTCCTTCTCTCCATTGAAATCCTTGAGGGACACATTCCTACTGTTTCATTGAAGTCCCTAAAGGTTGTGTTCTTTCTCTTCCATTTAAGTTCTTGATGGACGTGTTCCTACTGTTTCATTGAAGTCCCTAAAGGTCGTGTTCTTTCTCTTCCATTTTAGTTCTTGAGGGACGTGTTCCTACTGTTTCATTGAAGTCTCTGAAGGCTGTGTTCTTTCCCTTCCATTGAAGCTCTTAAGGGACACATTCCTTCTATTTCATTGAAGTCCCTGAGGGACGTGTTCCCTCTGTTTCACAGAAGTCCTTGAGGGACGTGTTCCTACTGTTCCACAGAAGTCCTTGAGGGACATGTTCCTACTGTTCCACAGAAGTCCTTGAGGGATGTGTTCCTACTGTTCCATAGAAGTCTTTGAGGGACGTGTTCCTACTGTTCCACAGAAGTCCTTGAGAAACGTGTTCCTACTGTTCCACAGAAGTCCTTGAGGGACGTGTTCCTACTGTTTCACAGAAGTCCTTGAGGGACATGTTCCCACCGTTTCACAGAATTCCTTGAGGGACATGTTCCTACTCTTTCACAGAAGTCCTTGAGGGAATGTTCCCATCATTTCACAGAAGTCGTTAAGGGACATGTTCCTACTGTTTCACAGAAGTCCTTGAAGGACATGTTCCTACTCTTTCACAGAAGTCCTTGAGGGAATGTTCCCACCATTTCACAGAAGTCCTTAAGGGACATGTTCCTACTGTTTCACAGAAGTCCCTGAGGGACGTGTTCCCACCATTTCACGGAAGTCCTTGACAGGTGATGTTCTCATCCCATTTGCCACCAGTGGTGGAGGTAAATACCATCAAGATGAACATATTTTCAGACAGAATATTTATTTTTTAAGACCAGACACATATATTTTTTATTTTACAAAATTATTTTGTCAATATGAGTCGGACGATAAGTAAAAAAAGATGATTAAAATGTAGCATGGTTCCTTCCAGTCTTCTTCCTGGAAGCATTTTCTGATTGGTTGGTTGGGTCCATTGGTCCTAGTTCGAGACACATTTTCTGATTGGTTGGTCGGGTCCCATGTTCCTAGTTCAGGACACATTTTCTGATAGGTTGGTCAGGTCCCATGTTCCTAGTTCAGGACACATTTTCTGATTGGTTGGTCGGGTCCCATGTTCCTAGTTCAAGACATATTTTCTGATTGGTTGGTCGGGTCCCATGTTCCTAGTTCAGAACACATTTTCTGATTGGTTGGTCAGGATCCATGTTCCTAGTTCAGGACACATTTTCTGATTGGTTGGTCGGGTCCCATGTTCCTAGTTCAGGACACATTTTCTGATTGGTTGGTCAGGTCCCATGTTCCTAGTTCAGGACACATGTTCTGATTGGTTGGTCGGGTCCCATGTTCCTAGTTCAGGACATATTTTCTGATAGGTTGGTCAGGTCCCATGTTCCTAGTTCAAGTGACATTTTCTGATTGGTTGGTGGGGAGCCATGTTCCTAGTTCAGGACACGTGTTCTGATTGGTTGGTCGGGTCCCATGTTCCTAGTTCAAGACATATTTTCTGATTGGTTGGTCAGGTCCCATGTTCCTAGTTCAGAACACATTTTCTGATTGGTTGGTCAGGATCCATGTTCCTGGTTCAGGACACATTTTCTGATTGGTTGGTCGGATCCCATGTTCCTAGTTCAGGACACATTTTCTGATTGGTTGGTCGGGTCCCATGTTCCTAGTTCAGGACACATTTTCTGATTGGTTGGTCGGGTCCCATGTTCCTAGTTTAGCAACATATTGTAAGAAGTCATGGCAGGCCGCACTGGCTGCTAAAAAACCCATGGAAATACGAAAACTGGTTTAATTTGTCAGAAAAAAACTTGTGGCAGTAACATACCAATATTTTTATATAAACACCATTTTTGTTCAATAATCTGGACAAGTAGACCTTGTCTCAGGACAAGTGATTTTTTTACTGTTTAGTTGTCAAGGAACAAGTATTATATTTCCACATCCATGCATAGTAATAATTGTTAACCTGGATTGTGTTAGGTGTAAGATGATTGCACAGTTGTTTCGGAGCAGGCCATTATATTTGCACAGTTGGTCATTTTTACATTACTGTCACTCTTAGTATCATACACATTGCCATATCAGCTTCTCCCTGTGCAATTAGTAGTCCTGTCTGGAGGGACTCCTTCATATGATCATGATAATCATGGCTGAGGAGGAGGATGTATGTGTGTGTTACAATAATTGTTACTGACACAGCGAACATTATGTATAATTATCAGTATGAGGATGTATCATATAAATAAGTCAAAAATTTTGCATGGATTTTTACTTCAGACTTGGGCAAGGGCATAAAGATTTTATCACACAGCTAAATTTTGTTTGAGTTGCCCTTAAATTGTCAAAGATCTGATTTATGAGACTGAAACTCTTGGTAATGATGGCTCTTGCATTTTAAAAATATTCGAAAAGAAGGGTCATGAATGAAAATACTATTCGTCATCAACTGAAATGTAGATAGAGTTGTCTACCCTGAAGTGTAGATAGAGTTGTCTACCCTGAAGTGTGGTTAGAATTGTCTACCCTGAAGTGTTGTTAGAATTGTCTACCCTGAAGTGTTGTTAGAATTGTCTTCCCTGAAGTGTGGTTAGAGTTGTCTTCCCTGAAGTGTGGTAAGAGTTGTCTACCCTGAAGTGTTGTTAGAGTTGTCTACCCTGAAGTGTTGTTAGAATTGTCTGCCCTGAAATGTAGATAGAGTTGTCTACCCTGAAGTGTGGTTAGAGTTGTCTACCCTGAAATGTGGTTAGAGTTATCTGCCTGAAGTGTGGTTAGAGTTGTCTACCCTGAAGTGTAGTTATAGTTGTCTGCCCTGAAGTTTTGTGAGAGTTGTCTGCCCTGAAGTGTGGTTAGAGTTGTCTACCCTGAAGTGTAGTTAGAGTTGTCTACCCTGAAGTGTAGTTAGACAAGATAAGACTTGCGTAAAATGTGAAAGAAACCCTTGACAATTATAATCTCTTGGAATTTGTTCCAATTGTTTAGCAAGGGTCATAAAGGTACATTTTCTATGCAACTAAAGTGTGCTAGAGTTATCTTCCCTTGTCAATGAGAAAGGGATTTGTATACCTAAAACAAATGATTTTTTGTGTCATGGATTAGTGCCTTGTGTCATGGTAGTCAGAGCTGTATCCATCCTGTATATCTCAAGACCTCATATTGCGTTAACCCACACTAGATCCTTTCCCGTGGATCTCGCGATCTCAAGTTACTTGCCCTTGATTTTCATTAGCCAATTTGATTTGCTACAATACACAGTCTAGGGGACCGACCAATCAAAATGCAAGTTACGCAGCAGCCATAACCTCGGGTTAGTGATATCAACAACATGGTCGTCAGACCCACTGATTTTGATAAGGTTGGTGAGAAATTCAACACTGAAAACCTGACTGACAAAAGAAAAGCCTTTAAAAAAATTGATTTTTTTTTATGAAGAGTCCATTTATGACCATGAAAACTGCAGTGGCTTTGGTTTCTAAGCAATGTGAGTTACCTCCCTTACCTATTTCCTTTTTCCTTATCTCAATGTTTGATTGGTTGTTAAATGTTAATGAAAGTCAGCGGCTTGTAATTTGAGATCGTAAGAAACGATGGAATGGATTCAGGAGGTAGTGTAGGTTTACTGAAATGCAAGCCACGGAGATATAGAGGGTGACCTTTATGATAATGCATGATGGGAGAAGGTAATACATTGCTATTAGTAAGTCACACAAGCCTCTGTGCCACATGTTTTAGTTTTTGTCTGTTGTGGTAGATGTAGTTGTAGCTGTAGTTGTAGTTGTAGCTACAACCTTTCCTCCCACATTAAGCTGACATGCCTGATATATACCTCGAGTACTGTTCAAAGTAGCCTTAAGCCCAACTCACTCACTCACTCACTCACTCACTCACTCACTCACTCACTCACTCACTCACTCACTGTAGCTGCCACACGTGTAGATTTTGTCTGTTGTAACATTCATATGGTAGATGTAGTTGTAGTTGTAGCTGTAGTTATCGTAGATGATGCCATAGTTGTAGTTGTACCTGTAGTTGAACCTGTAATAATTGTAGATGTTGCCATGGTTGTAGCTGTAGCCGTAGCTGTAGTTGTAGAATAGAAATAGCACCCTAGATCGGAACGTAAGGGTCCACCTCCGTGGTCTAGTGGTAGAGCCTCTGCCCGGAGAGAGGGAGGTCGGGGCTTCGATCCCTGGACAGGTCATACCAGAAGACGTTTAAAGATGGTGCTTGTTAACCTGCCTGGTGCTCGGCATTAATTTAGGGGTCTAAAACAAGGACTGGTCAGCTCGGAGTCAGTATACTGTTTCTGAGTGGAGTATTCATGTTAAACTGCGGCATGGTAGCTCATGTATCATACACACATCGCTATAAAAGTGCAACAATCTTGGATTCATTGTTAAACCTTCTTTTTTCATCATGTATGACCTTTCAGATCTAGTTTAATATTCAAGGATTTGAGTACGCTACAGAGCCTTGGGCTATAAAGTTCTTATCGATTTGTACAAAAACTGTCAGTAAGGGTATACTTTTAGAACAGAGAATGTTTCATTACGCAGGTAAAAATGTCTGGTGACGAAGTCTGTGCTACTTTGATAGTTGCCATGTTTCAAATGTTTCAAATGTAGTTGCAATACAACTTTAAACTGCTTCAGAACAATGATCAAAACAAACTGGTTGCCGTTAGCAATAGGAATAAAATCTAATATGATCCTGATGATTATCCTTGATATCTAATTACACATCTCCGAAATGCTTGCAGTTATTTGTTTGATACTGTAGACTCCCAGCTCGGTGTGCATTGCTAAGTTTACACAGTCAGATGTTCTCTTAGAGGCAGGTTTGCTCATGGTAAAGGCCATGGAAGTTGCAGGAAGTAATAATACTATAATGTTTTAGAAAAGTAGTGGAAAATTTATTTCAAGAGAAGAATTTTTGGAATGGACTTTAGATATATGAACAGTCAATGATGTTGCACTTCTTTCAAATGTTGATTTTGATGATAGTTTTAGATTTTTTGTATTAAAGAGAGCGGTTTTACAAAACGGGACATGCATTTGTACAGAACATGCACTTGTACGAACACAGAACATGCATATGTACCAATACACACCTGTGAAGATCCGGGTTGGAAGAGGTCTTCAGCAACCCAAGCTTGCCGTAAAAAAAAGGCTTGTCACAAGAGGCGACTACCAGGATTGGGTGGTCAGGCTTGATGACTTGATAGATGCTTGTCATTGTATCCCAATTGCATAGATCCCTGCTCTTGATGTCAATCACTGGATTGACTGTACCAATACAGCACATGCATTTATACCTACACAGAACATGCATTTGTAACTACACAGAGCATGCATTTGTACCTACACAAAACATGCATTTGTACCTACACAGAGCATGCATTTGTACCAATAGAGCACATGCATTTGTACCAATACAGAACATGCATAATTTGTACCAATACAGAACATGCATTTGTACCTACACAGAACATGCATTTGTACCTACACAGAACATGCATAATTTGTACCAATACAGAACATGCATTTGTACCAATACAGAACATGCATTTGTACCTACACAGAACATGCATATGTACCAATACAGAACATGCATTTGTACCAATACAGAACATGCATTTGTACCAATACAGAACATGCATTTATACCTACACAGAACATGCATTTGTACCAATACAGAACATGCATTTGTACCTACGCAGAACATGAATATGTACCAATACAGAACATGCATTTGTACCAATACAGAACATGCATTTGTACCAATACAGAACATGCATTTGTACCTACACAGAACATGCATTTGTACCTACGCAGAACATGCATTTGTACCTATACAGAACATACATATGTACCAATACAGAACATGCATTTGTACCAATACAGAACATGCATTTGTACCAATACAGAACATGCATTTGTACCTATGCAGAACATGCATTTGTACAATACAGAACATGCATTTGTACCTATGCAGAATATGCATTTGTAACAATACAGAACATGCATTTGTACCAATACAGAACATGCATTTGTACCAATACAGAACATGCATTTGTACCAATACAGAACATGTATTTGTACCTACACAGAACATGCATATGTACCAATACAGAACATGCATTTGTACCTACACAGAACATGTATTTGTACCTACACAGAACATGCATATGTACCAATACAGAACATGCATTTGTACCAAAACAGTACATGCATTTGAACCTACACAGAACATGCATTTATACCTACACAGAACATGCATTTATACCCACTCAGAACATGCATTTGTACCTACACAGAACATGCATATGTACCAATACAGAACATGCATTTGTACAAATACAGAACATGCATTTGTACCAATACAGAACATGCATTTGTTCTCATACAGAACATGCATTTATACCTACACAGAACATGCATTTATACCCACACAGAACATGCATTTATACCCACACAGAACATGCAATTGTACCTACACAGAACATGCATTTGTACCTACACAGAACAAGCATTTATACCCACACAGAACATGCAATTGTACCTACACAGAACATGCATTTGTACCTACACAGAACATGCATTTATACCCACACAGAACATGCATTTGTACCCACACAGAACATGCATTTGTACCCACACAGAATGTGCATTTGTTCCAATACAGAATTGGCTTTAGTATTCAGCAGAGTCAAGGTGAAGGGGATGACCAAGAACACATACCCCTGCCAAGTATGTCTGAGAGCAATGGCTTGTCCACAAATGCAAAGCCATGAGTTTTTTATATTAAGAAGTAGGATACATGTACAAGTTTTCCATTCCTTTTGTCGAGCATTGCGAACACAATAATGACTCAGCAGAATCATTGGTAGTGTTTCCATGTGTCACATACTCAAGATATCTTACCACCAAGCTCTATAGGACCTCTGGTTCATTTGTATCGTTCTGGGTTCGACATTTAGGCTATGCAACACACAAAAACATATTGATAGATCAGAAGCAATAATTAGTGTAAAACCCTCTGTTGTAGATGTCTTGTTCAACCCTTGTATTCCGTACTGTAAAATGTAATTCCTTGCGTATCTTGTCTGATCATGACCTCAACACGACCTTGACATGACCTTGTTGATGTAGTAAATTGCTACAGCATGTTTCAGCTGAGTATGAGAGTGACCTCCCTTGTAATGTTTCCCTTGTCTTCTCCCAGGTGGAGCTAGTAGGTTCCCCCAACTGTAAGGCAGGACAGTTCCAGTACGGAACAATGACTGAAGAAGATTAACCACGTATTCCTCCCTTCGTTCCCTCTTTCTTTACTAATACAGGTTGGTTTCTTTCTTTATTTCTCTCCCTCATTCACTCACTCGCTTTTTCTCACCAGTTTGTGCTTGGTCCTCTTGTGGCTACAGTTTACTTGTGTGTCTGTTCGTCTGTCATTTTCAAGGTCTCAATCTCTGAATGGTGGGTTTATGATTGTGCTTTTGACGGTTGTTTGAATATTTATCAGTGTTCAAGATCATGTATCTATCCCTCTGCGCTTCTTTCAGCTCGATTGGCTTATGATGTTGTTTTCCTGCTGTTCACTGTTGTTTCATCTGATTGCACAAATGGTCAAATTTTGTTCAATTTAGTAATGTCAGATTGATGTTCATTTTATACCATCGACTGGGTAAAGAGATGTACAAATATATTTTAGGATATTGAGAACAGGTTTGAAATCTTTTACAAGTCTTGACTTTTTCTCTTAGGACATGGAGAGCAGGTATTAAATCATTGAAAAGTCTTGGCTTTCTCTCTTAGGACATTAGGAACAAGTATGAAATCTAAGTAAGGATAAGAATTTATGGATGAACAACTTCTTTATTACAATAAAGAGCGACGTTTTGGTGTAGGTTCTAACACCGTTATCAAGCAAGTGATGTATATAAAGAGTGTGGTTGACAAGTATATATACAAGTAGGAGGCAATGTTTATACAGTAGAGTAGATATTGTTATATGGGAGTAGAGAAGCCTCTTAGGACATAGAGAACCGTTATGAAATAACTGAAAAGTCTTGGCTTTCTATCTTAGGACATGGAGAACAGGTATGAAATCATTGAAAAGTCTTGTCTTTTTTTCTTAGTACATAGAGAACCGTTATGAAATCTTAGGACATGGAGAACTGGTATGAAATCACTGAAAAGTCTTGTCTTTTTCTCTTAGGACATAGAGAACCGTTATGAAATCTTAGGACATGGTGAACTGGTATGAAATCATTGAAAAGTCTTGTCTTTTTCTCTTAGTACATAGAGAACCGTTATGAAATCTTAGGACATGGAGAACTGGTATGAAATCATTGAAAAGTCTTGTCGTTTTCTCTTAGGACATAGAGAACCGGTATGAAATCTTAGGACTTTGGGAACTGGTATGAAATCATTGAAAAGTCTTGGCTTTCTCTCTTAGTACATTGGGAACAGGTATGAAATCATTGAAAAGTCTCGGCTTTCTCTCTTAGTACATTGGGAACAGGTATGAAATCATTGAAAAGTCTCGGCTTTCTCTCTTAGTACATTGGGAACTGGTATGAAATCATTGAAAAGTCTCGGCTTTCTCTCTTAGTACATTGGGAACTGGTATGAAATCATTGAAAAGTCTTGGCTTTCTCTCTTAGGACATTGGGAACAGGTATGAAATCATTGAAAAGTCTTGGCTTTCTCTCTTAGGACATTGGGAACAGGTATGAAATCATTGAAAAGTCTTGGCTTTCTCTCTTAGGACATTGGGAACTGGTATGAAATCATTGAAAAGTCTTGGCTTTCTCTCTTAGTACATGGAGAACTGGTATGAAATAACTGAAAAGTCTTGGCTTTCTAACTTAGGACATTGGGAACTGGTATGAAATCACTGAAAAGTCTTGGCTTTCTCTCTTAGTACATGGAGAACTGGTATGAAATAACTGAAAAGTCTTGGCTTTCTAACTTAGGACATTGGGAACTGGTATGAAATCATTGAAAAGTCTTGGCCCCTCTTAGGACATTGGGAACAGGTATGAAATCATTGAAAAGTCTTGGTTTTCTAGATTTATGCAAGCAGAAACCTAATTTTGTCAAACCTTTAAAGGAATGCTTTATATATATATATATATATATATATATATATATATATATATATATATATATATATATATATATATAAGTATATATATATATAGGTATATACCCATGCAGCAAGCATCCCCCGACCCATCACACAACTTAAGCTCACATATATTTATTAACACAAGCACAAAAGGAATTGCTGGGTTAGAAAACCAAATGCCATGAAATCACTTGCAATTTGTTCACAGGACTGATATATAATAGATGTAAGATATGTGGAAGCCTTTGATTGATGATTTTCAATGAGACTGAAAATATGCAATTGATCACTAATCGGCTAATATTGATTCATCAGAATTGTCATCTTTTGTATGCATTAAACAGGTTCTCTTTGCCAGACAACCAAAATGCAGGTGATTTTCTATTTCAAGTTGACCTTGATATCTCACATGTTATGAGCTGGTATTCCCATAACCTTTACATGATCATAGAAATTGTTTGGGTACTAGAAGGATCATGGGTGAATGTATTCAGTGGCTCTGTGTGTTCATGCCTGAGTCAGGTACTTGACAATAATTAGCATCCTCAGACCGACTGATCCATCCAGATACGTCTATCAAGAACAGAGGTGCCAGGATAAATAATGTTTCCTTGCATAAATATGATTCCTGATTGCTTTCAATCAAAGACACTTCAGACTGAATCCATTGCAGAGTCGCTTCACATTGCATCCATGGCAGGATCTCTTCACATTGCATCCATGGCAGGATCTCTTCACATTGCATCCAAGGCAGAGTCTCTTCACATTGCAGCCAAGGCAGAGTCTCCTCACCTTTCAACCAAGGCAGAGTCTCTTCACCTTGCATCCAAGGCAGAGTCTCTTCACATTGCATCCATGGCAGGATCTCTTCACATTGCATCCAAGACAGAGTCTCTTCACATTGCAACCAAGACAGAGTCTCTTCACATTGCAACCAAGACAGAGTCTCTTCACATTGCAACCAAGACAGAGTCTCTTCACCTTGCATCCAATTGGCAGAGTCTCTTCACATTGCATCCAAGACAGAGTCTCTTCACATTGCAACCAAGACAGAGTCTCTTCACATTGCAACCAAGACAGAGTCTCTTCACATTGCAACCAAGACAGAGTCTCTTCACATTGCATCCATGGCAGAGTCTCTTCACATTGCATCCAAGGCATGATCGCTTGACATTGTATCCAAGACTCTTCACTCTTCACCTTGCATCCAAGACAGAGTCTCTTCACATTGCATCCATGGCAGGATCTCTTCACATTGCATCCAAGACAGAGTCTCTTCACATTGCAACCAAGACAGAGTCTCTTCACATTGCAACCAGGACAGAGTCTCTTCACCTTGCATCCAAGACAGAGTCTCTTCACATTGCATCCATGGCAGGATCTCTTCACATTGCATCCATGGCAGAGTCTCTTCACATTGCATCCAAGGCATGATCGCTTGACATTGTATCCAAGACTCTTCACTCTTCACATTGCATCCAAGACAGAGTCTCTTCACATTGCAACCAAGACAGAGTCTCTTCACATTGCAACCAGGACAGAGTCTCTTCACCTTGCATCCAAGACAGAGTCTCTTCACATTGCATCCATGGCAGGATCTCTTCACATTGCATCCATGGCAGAGTCTCTTCACATTGCATCCAAGACAGAGTCTCTTCACATTGCGACCGCCTCCGTGGTCTTGTGGTAGAGCGTCCGCCCGGAGAGCGGAAGGTCCAGGGTTCGATCCCGGGCCGCGTCATACAAAAAGACGTTAAAAGATTGTACTTGTTGTTACCCTGTCTGGCGCTCGGCATTAAGGGGCTAAAACAAGGACTGGTCGGCTCGGAGTCAGTATACTGTGTCTGAGTGGAGTATTCATGTTAAACTGCAGCATGGTATCTCAGTGAGCTAGCACTATAAATCGGCATCAGTCCGGACTAGTACAAGCAGCCACACACACAAATACACGTGCACGCACGTCGCTATATAAGTACAATAATCTTGGACGCGACGTTAAACCCAATTTCACCTCACCTCACCTCTTCACATTGCATCCAAGGCATGATCGCTTGACATTGTATCCAAGACTCATCACTCTTCACCTTGCATCCATGGCAGAGTCTCTTCACATTGCATCCAAGACAGAGTCTCTTCACATTGCATCCATGGCAGAGTCTCTTCACATTGCATCCAAGGCATGATGGCTTCACATTGTATCCAAGACTCTTCACTCTTCACATTGCATCCATGGCAGAGTCTCTTCAACTTTTGTAGTCACTGCATTCAATCCCTAATATTGGGATACTTGGCATCATGATCGACATTGGTGTCTTAACTCATTGAGTGTCTTTCTTCTATCAAGTCTGTTTCATATAACACAGTGATAGGTGATCCATACTTCTCATCAATTTAAATGTCTGCAGCTGCAACAATTTCCATGACGTTGCATGTTAACTTGACACGGTGCACAGTATCTTTCATTCACTCTTGAGAAAACTTAGTCACTATGATCCCAGTGGATTAGTGAGTGAATAAGAGAGTGTGGTTTTACATCACTTTGGGGACACCAGAAATCCACCCAGTGGCTTAAGATACATGTAAGTCCTAGAACTGTTTCTAGTCTCTAATTTGTAGTAGAGTATTTCAGTCTTTGCAGACAGACGTGGAAAGTTGGTACTTGTCACATCATACCAATAAACATTGAAAGATAGTACTTGCTGTTTCCCTGTCTGAATTAGGCATTAAGGGAATAAAATGAGTTGGTATACCATGGTTGAGATGGACAATAACAATTAATAACATTTAATGGGTCATCCTAGTTCATAGTTAGCACATAAAGTTGATTAATTGCAGGTCTAGATAAAAAAACATTATTTAAACACATTCAGAATAACTCTATTCATACAATGAGGCTTCGAAGGAAAAACACAAAGACTAACATATTTTTTTATTGAAGTGTTTTGAACTCTGTATGTTCTGCTGATGTTCTTCTCTCAGGATCGTAGTTTGGCAAGGTATGTAAATTAGCAATAATTTTAAAATTTCGTCAGGGAAGTAGCATTACAGATGGGGTTGTAAACTGACATTAAGTCCCTGATATAAAGTTATTTTCAAAAATGTATATCTACAAATTAGAAATATTAAAATCCTAAGGAGCCCAGAATAAACCTTAATTTCAGTCTAGAGCTCAGGTAATGTAGACTTGCCCAATCATTCAAGAGTTGA